TTGTATGTGAATGCCTCCATCCATCAAATATTCATGATGGTCATGATTATTATTCAATACATTTGATATCATCATTGGCATAACAAACAATTGCATCACCCAGGTAGTAATGATACCAAGGCCATGCATAAACAAGGCTTTTAATAATGCCTGTCTCTGGGGTTCACAAAATAAATTATGGTTCCTTATGAATAATAAATCTGATGTTGAATCACAGGCGTCAGATTTAATTGAAATTTTCCTATCACAAACATGAAAGACCGTGCAACTAAGCACAATTCAGCACCATGGAATGTTTTCCACAGGTGAAACCGACTTAAACATGTTGGAAGGCTTTGGACAAAACTTTTCCCTATCTTTCCCAGACCAGGCTTGGCTGTTACATATATGGGCATTGATTGCTGATGAAGATCAGCATTTGTGTGATGATTGCATTGTGTTATACCTCTCTAGAATAAAATTGGTGTCTGCAACTGAGGAGGTTGCAACCTGGGTTACTGTTTCGTCAGAGCACACCTACTTAGGGTAAGGAATGATTTGGGCAAAAGTTCAGTCACTACCCTGTTTAAAAAACAATAAAATTGGTTAACCAAATTAAAAATTTACCAAGAAAAATAAAATTTCAAAAAAATGATTAATCTGTGCAAAACATACCAAAATCCAAACTGTTTTGTGGCTTTTCTCTTGTTGATCCTTTTTGAAAAAAGTGCAGAGAAACCCACTTTGATACCAGGGATCATTTTTGGCATTTGGCTGATAAAGATATAATTATGTGATAATTTCAATCTACAGGGGGCCTTCCAAAATTATAAATTCAATTAATATCAAGGAAGGAGAAAATTTAGGAAAATTATTAAACGAAAACTACTTTATGACTTTCCTCTTAACATCAGAGTGCAAATTCAATTTCAGAGTTCCCAATCCCACTCTGAATTGCAAATTCTTGCCTGAGCTTGAGTTGCAGTTTCTCACTGCCTTGATAAATCTAGATGTTGATGTACACCTAAAATCACAACTCTTTGATCAAGTTGCAACATCCAGGGTTGCAACTTGCTGGTTGCATAGCCAGCCACTTTTCAATTAGCATGCTTGCAGCTTTCTCTGGTCAAATGTCATAAGGGAAAATCAGGTAGGATTCATGCAAGTGTATCCTTAACAATGATGCAAGCTTTTATAAATTCCAGGCACAAGCGCCTCCTGGAATTTAGCTGCATCACCATATCTTTAGGTCTTCAAGTCAGATTGGCCTTTTGGACATGAGGAATGTGAGAATGACTGTAAGGTGTTCAAGTAGCGCGTGCGCCTTGACGTCTGCCAATTTACAATTATGAAAATGTCGCATATCGAATTGTTTCCCTTCATTCCTCATCTGCAACAGTTGTATCGTTTTGGCATCTTCTTATTATTTAATATTATTAATATCAATATCGATTACGAAAAGCAAAACGATACCAATCGTTTATCATAAAGAATCTTGTAAATACAAGTTCTGCCTCCACAGTTTGATTTTGCAATAATATTTATACAAAATAAAAAACACATATTATTAACAATATTTATAAAACGATAAAAAAAAAATACAATGCAACAAAAATTGTGTACCTCTCGCCATCAATAAACAACATGTCTTCTCCAGAACAAGCCATACCAAGCAACAACATTCGCGCTTTCTTGTTTTTCCAAAAAAAAAATTCAATCGCGTATAATTCTTCGTACAACCCATACACAATACTGTAATAATTATTCATGTATGTCGATCATATAATCATATATACTGTATAACAAAATTTTTTTCATTTGTTTTTAAAACAGAAGTTTAAATAGATAGAAAAAAATTTAAAATAAATAAATATGCCAGACAAAAATAGGGACAGAAAGAGAAAAATCGATTATTTTAAAGAAAATGAGAAAAAGTAAGTGTTTAAAAAAAGAATGGTGATGGTGGTTACGATCGTTGCAACGTGTCATCATTGTATTAATTACTAACAAAAGTTAAAATTTTTTTAGTGAAGTAGGAAATCTTTCATTTTTAAATAATAAAGTAAGTGATAAGTAAATTATATTCTCTTTGAATGGGTAATAATGACTATTTTGGTATTATTCTGATTTTATTAACACAATTTTAACAATAGGAAAATGTTTTTTTAAACAATTCTTCTTTCGAGCGTCGTATAAGTTCTAAAAAAATTCTAGTAGATGTTTCAAATAATGAAACATCATTTGATGTGGGTGAAATATCGGATGAAACACCATTCGACGTGCACGAAACATCGGATGTCACTAGGTAATTTTTGATAGTGGAAACAATAAATAGACCTTAAATTTTGTTAATTTTGATTCAATAATTTTTTAGGGATGGTATCTTAAAAAAAGTCGAATCAATGATAAATAGGATAAATGAAAAGAATAATGACGATTATGAAATCAAGAAATTAATATCAAGGAAGAACAACAAAAATCTTGATATATTGTTAAGAATACTTAACATCTGTCACGAACTTATTACGAAAGAAATTAAAGTGACTAAACGGTAGGCTGTATTATATTATTATTAGATAAAAAAAATAGAAAGAAGAAAATTAAAAACATTATTTATTTCTTTCTATATACATAACGTTACTAATAGCGGGATTTACTACAGAGATGTCGGGTTGTTTGGTTCTCAAAATAGAGTTGACAGAGTAAAGATTTGTTATATTATTAAATAATAATATTTTTTTTTTGGTTAGAAAAATAATTTGATGTTTAATAATGAATTTTAATAATGAAGGCTATCAATGAACTATGCTGCTTTTTAAAAATTCCGAGATACTGCTTAAATGTGGTAAAAAAGAAAATAAAATGATATTTATATATAACATAATATTTAATTTTATTATTAATTATTCTTTCAAATTGATTAATAAAAGATTGCATCTGCAAAAGGTATAATTGCAGGCGACTTAAAGATATTTAAAAATGATCAAATTGTAGTGGACTCCTCAAGAAATTTATCATCAAATGGAATTCTTATACAATCAATTGATCCTAATGCAGACTATGATATCCTTTATTGTTATTATAGATATTGTGATTTATTATAATTATGATTATTATCGTTAATGAATTTATCTAATACAGATCGTAACCCAAGCTAAATACATCATTGTCATGGAAAAAGATGTTAATACTGATTTTTGAAATTATAACAATATTATAGTTTCTGGTTGCAATTTTTGATGGTGGTTGCAACCACCTTTGTGACCATTTTCTTTCCTTTTTTAGATCGCGACATGGAACACTAAACAATATTGAATTATTTAATTAATCTTGTTATTATTATTAATTATTTAGGCAACTCTTCAAACACTATTATCAAACAATATTTTTCAAAAGTTAGAATCCTGCATTTTAATCGCAGTAAGTATTTGTCAATATATTATTCTGATATACATAGTCAACCCTGTTAGTCTGAAGGGTTGGTACATGCCACTTTTTCTTTGGATTATCAAGGCAATTTAAAATAAGTGTTTCAAAAATATTTTTTAAAAAAATTGATATTCAATTAACAGTTTATACAGATAATAATTACTGTTCAATGTGTGATTTTGGAAGGATCTGCATATCTTTTGACTTTTTGTTTTAAAAAAATACATTTTAATGGAGATTTCAGACTAACAGTGTTGACTACGTATCATTATTTTCAGTGTAAAAGTTGATTGAATGAATAATAAACTTTCTTTTTTTTAAAAAAAATTTTTTATAGGGAAAAGGCTATCCTGTAAGTTATAAAAATATGTATATAAAATTTATTTATTTCTAAAAAGAGGAAATATTAATTTATTTTTTGGTTCTATTCAAAAGGATTTTGCAACTCGGCATTTAATAAAACTGCTTAGTGACCTAAAAAGTGAAATTCCTATTTTAGGTTTTTTTGACAACGATCCTTATGGTAAATATATATTTGGTACTTTATAATGATTATTTACTAAAATCATTGTGATTTATTCGTTTTTCATTCATTTTAAATTAGGCATTGATATTTTGAATTTGTACAAATATGGTGCTCCAGTAAAATAACATCTTAACATCATAATTATAAATACAAACATATTAGTTATAATTATTTAAAAAAATCTTTCTAGACAAAGTTATTTGAGAACAAAAATTGGGCAATCTCACGTTTACAATGGATTGGTTTACACCATATTGATAGAGAACAGTAAGAAAATTATTATTTATTATAAAAATTTTCAAGTTATGCTACTGTACTATTGTTACTACAGTTAATACCACATGTAATAATTAATTTTCACAAATATTTTTTATTTAGTAACAATACTTCTGAAAATTTATTTATTAAATTAACAAGTAATGATAAAAAAAAATCAAAAGATTTATTAAAAAAAGAATATTTACCAGAAACTTGGAGGTAAAAAGATTTTTTTAATTTTTTTAATAAAATTACCAATCATTCATCACTATTGTTATCAAATTAATTGTTAAAACAATAGAAATGAAATACAAGAAATCCTAAATTCTAACAAAAAATGTGAAATAGAATCATTATGTTATGATGATAATGAAAACTTACTAAATTATTTAATAGCAAAAGTTAATAATCCTACATCATGGTTATAGTCAATTTGCACATAAAAATTAAAAAAATTTTTAATTAATAAATATCTTTACAAAGCTTGCAATTTTTCATGCCATATCTTTATAATAAAAGTTATCACATTTCTAATTATTTTATCTTATTTATATTATTTAATTTTATTGCTTTTAGGGTAGACGTTTTTCTACTGAATAATCAAAATGACATGATAAAATGTTCACTTTGTTTGGTTTTGTTGCAGCATGCCCCATTTATAATAATGTTAATGTTAATGTTAATGTTAATATTTGAATTTTAAAATTAACAATCAAATAATTACCATTATTTTTACTAAAAATCCTCAATTCATTAACTTGTTCAATAATTTCATTTAGTGAACAACTTGTAAAATATGATTTTGGATGATGATAATAACCATTTTCATCTGACAAATATTTTTTTGAATTGATAATTTCTAAACGTTTAACTTCTGCAGAATTAATAATATCCATTTCTAATGTTAGAGGATGAGAAGAATAATATTTTCTCAAAATACTATTAATTTCTTCAGCCTTAGGTCGATTTTCTGAGTTAGGGTCCCAACATCTTTGCATTAAATCAGCATAGAATTGAGGTGTGTCTTCAGTAATTTGAGGTCTTCCCCTCCAGAATATATGCTGCAAGGTGATAATCATATGGAATATTGTAGAATGGTTTTTTGCCTGTAGTATGTTCCCACATAACCATACCAAAACTATAAACATCTGATTCTTTTGTATATGGCTTTTGTAATAAAACTTCTGGTGCCAAGTATGGCATAACACCATAAATTTTATTTGGATTTTCTTTTTTGTTTATTTCTTGTTGACATAACCCTAAATCTCCTATAACACTCTTATTATCATAATATGAAAAAATATTGCCACTGTGCAAGTCCTGATGAATGTAATTATTATCATGAATATTCTTTAATCTATTAATAAATAAATTGATTAATTGTATTATATTATAAAAAATAATAAATAATAGTAATTTTAAAATTTACCCAAGTGAAATCTGAAGAAGTGAAGCAATCTTTTTTTCCCAAGTAATTTCTTTGAAATTTTTTGATAAATAATTATGTAAATCTCCATTTGGGGCATGTTCAAATACCAACATATAATCATTTTCATTTGGATGTTTTGTAATTCCAAAACATTTATTAACAGAAAAATAAAGTTTATCATTTGCTTCTAACTAAAAATTATATTTGTTATGAATTATTAAAATTTAATAATAATATTTTATAAAAAATAAAATTTTAAATATTTTACCTCCTTGAAAATACCAAAGATATAATTTATAGAATGATTTAATCTTTTTAATACAACAGTTTTTTTCCCAAATTTCTGAAAAATGGTTCATAATGATTAATCCATGTTGCTTTATAAACTTTGCTAAATCCACCTTGAGCTAGGTACTCAATATTTTCCAATTCATTAAATGGAATCCATTTAATAGTTTTTGAATCTGATTTATATTGATAAAGAAATCTAGCCATTTCTTTATTTCCACATTCGTTAATTGATTTTTCTATTTTTCTTTCTTAGCAACTATTACATAATTTATTATTTAATTGAATATCTAATCCAGATATTTCTCCAGATAATTTATCAAACATTTTTGAATTTATTCCTATTAATTTACTAAGTAAAACTTTGACTTCATTATTTAATAAATTTTTTTCACAAACAAAACAACTTTTTAATATTTTTAATGTTTCATATTTTAATTTTCTTCTAAAAATATTCTTTCACAAAAGGTTGGAATTATTGATGGAGGCATTGATTATAAACACCCAGCATTTGGTGGTTGTTTTAAAACAGCTGGATGTAGGATTCAATTTGGTAAAGATCTCATAGGAAGTGGTAATAGTGAAGATCCTGTTGCTGATGATGACCCATTTGAACCTTGTGATGGTCATGGAACTTACATAAGTGGAATTATTGGCGCAAACGATTCGACAACACATTTTACAGGTGTTGCTCCTAAAGGTAAAAATAAAATCTTTCGATTATTAAATCCTGTAAATTATTTCAATTGGTTAATTAATATTTTTCCTCCTTCCAAAAATAAAATAATTATTAGCAATCCTTGGTGTTTATAGAGTAACAGATTGTTTTGGAGACACAGGAGATGATCTGATCATTAAAGCAATGGAATTGGCTGAGAATGATGGAATGGACATAATAAATATGTCACTTGGAGTTTCATTTGATGGTTGGCCTGAAAATCCAAGTGCTGTAGCCGCCTCTAACTTGGTAAAAAAAGGATTTTATGTAATTACTGCTGCTCCTAATGATGGTTTTAGTGGACTTTTTAGTAGTGGATCTCCCGACTCTGGAAAAGATGTTATAACCGTTGGTTCTGTAAATAATTTCAAATTCATTACAAATTACTTGGTGCCAAGTACTCAACCAAAGAAAAAGATTGCTTATTTTACAAGACGTGTGGGATTGAAATTCGACCTTGATGGTCCATTAGAGATTGTCCCAACCAGTGATGCTAAAGATCCAGTAGATGATGCTTGTAATCCAATTGCTAAAAATCTTACTGGAAAATTGGCATTGATAAGACGAGGTGGATGTTTCTTTGACGATAAAATTACAAATGCTCAAACGGCTGGTGCACTAGGTGCCATCTTCTACTTCAATGTAACAGGCCCTTTTAAACCAGCCATTAGTTCATCTAGTGTACCAATTGCAATAATCTCCAAAAATGACGGTGAATATCTAATAAAACAATTCCAACATAGCAAAAAAATCAGACGCAACCAATATTACTACAATCACAATCGACGATTGAGAGTAACATTCCCCAATAAAACGGCTGTTTTCAATGACATAGAAGGTAATAATCCTGTTGATACAAGTTCTTGGGGTCCCACTTTTGAATTAGATATTAAGCCGGAAATAATGGCTCCCGGTGGTAAAATATTCAGCACGTTACCTGTGGAATTTGGTTCCTATGGAACTTTCTCTGGTACATCTGCCGCTGCCGCTTATACCTCAGGTCTTGTCGCTTTATACTTGGAAAATTTTAGAAAAAATCCACACAACAAAATCAATATTGATCCACTCATTTTAAAAAATATTCTGATTTATACTGCGGAACCATATAAATCTTCAAATGATGGAAACCATAAAAATAAAATCGTTCTGCCAGTCACCAAGCAAGGACTCAGATTAATTAATCTTGAGAGACCGTTAAATAACAAACTTTATATAACACCAGGAAAATTATCGCTGAATGATACAGTCAGATTCACTGGTACAGCAACAATTAGCTTGACAAATTTCAGTCATAAAACAATGAAAATCACATTGGATCATTTACCAGCCGGATCCGTTAGAGGTTTCTTCAATGATACTATTGTTAATACTGGAGATATGTTGATCAATAAATTTTATGCTAAAGTGACATTTCATAAAAATACAATCAAATTACGTCCAAGAGAAACAAAATCAATCCAAATAAGAATCAAAGAGCCTTCACAATTATTGCCAAGCGAATTTGGATTATATTCAGGATTCATAATCGTCAATGATGAATGTAATCATGAAACTTACAGCGTACCCTATCAGGGATTAAAGGGAAATTTGACTACAATGAATCTAATTTCAAGTAATCCTACGTCACCATTCTTGTTATCACCTGATTTTGATGAATTGTACAACGAGACTGATGAAGCAACCTATACATTCCAAGATGATTATGATCATATACCGAAGGTCTATTTCAGATCCAATCTTGGTACGTCACGTTGGGTCTTGTATGC